TTAATCTGATTTTAGTGGCAATATGTTGCCAAAGATTTCAGCTTACAAACTTCGTTACGGTCTACATTATTTTATTCTCATAAGGTCTAAACAATATTCTTTTGGAAAATAATAATGCTTGATACATTGTGAATCAATTTATCTTAAAATATTCATATGATAGCTCTCAAATATTTAAAGCATATTTCAAGTTAAACAGAGATATTTGACCTTAGAGTATGTGGGGGGGGGGGGGTTAGGGGGTATCTAAATATTGTTGCTTGTAGTGGAGATGGGGGGGGTGGGGGTGGGGGGAGGGGAGGGGGCTAATTTCTCCTCGAAGCCATGCTCAGAGGCTCAGAAGTCATGAATGAAAAGCTCAGGGCACGATAGATAACCTGTGGAGTATAACCATTAGTAGAGCAGGCATTGATAGATAGCTTGGGGTCACGTTAGACTGCAGGTCATCGCCACATAGATACACTATTGAGGTGTGGACATTCTGTATTGTCTGTGGTAACATTAGGTTATCATTCTCACCGCTTTCTTTATCAATGTATCTTACCTGTTTTAGTTTTTTGCTTCTTATCTTTCTTTCCCAGCATTTGGTGGTGTTTTAATCTTTCTCTCTATACTGTCCAATGTTCTTTCTCATTTATTATATTTACTTGTCATCGATTCATTTGCTTCATTTCTCATTCATTTTATTTATTCTTTTTAAATGTTGTTTCTCTTTTTTTTTCTTGGGGGGGGGGGCATCTTTTTTACATCTCAGTTTTAACTTTCTCATTCTACAGTACTTTGAAACTTTTTGTGATGCCTTATGCTCCACAAAACAACTCAAAATACTAATGCTTCTTATTCACAAAAATCCCATACTATCCTTCTCAAATTTCTTCTCACTTAATTAAAAAAAAATCCTGACAAGAATAGGTCAAATATTATATTCAGATGTGCATTCAGACATGTCATATAGTATACTATTGAGATTGTGATTGTGATGGTGATGAGGATAGAAGATAATGCTGCTGAGGATGAAGAAGATGATACAAATGATTTGAAATGATGATGATGATGATGATGATGATGATGATGATGATGATGATGATGATGATGATGATGAAGATGATATAAGTGAAGTTGGTGATGAAGACAAATGATGAAAATGCTGACGATAACGATATCCAGGTGGTGGATTAACAGTAACACACAGACAATAATCATTTAATGTCATAATAGGATAAAGACAGGATTACAAATTAAGCACCATTAAAACTAGAATGATTCTGAATGTCATACTGTCTTGATCTGTCAATTAAAGACGAAGAATTTGACATTTTGAAATAGAGATTTAATTTACCTTGAAGCATTTGCTCCAGCTTTCGGCGATCCACCCGAAAGCGCTCCTCAACGCGGTCAGGGTCAATCTCTGTCACATCCTCCGCCTGCTCACCGGGCGAAGCTTCCGTGCCTGGCCCGCTGTCGGACTCGTCCGAGTTGGAGCCACAGTTGTCGTCAATAATCGACGGAGATTCCTCATTTTCTTCCGCAAAATCGCTCATTTCGGAGATTGCGTCGTCAGTTTGGTGAGCCATTGTCGTTAAATACCTATCATCTACGTTTTCAGGAGAAAACGTCGGTCAAAAAGGGACGAAACTGACTCTTCACAAACTTAGGCAGACGATACGCCTTTGTCGGGCCGCAAGGAAACGTGTTAAATCTGATCGACAGGTTTGTACTTGTGTTGTTTTTATTTTGGTGATGCGATAACAAGCTTCTTCTGCAAAGTTTCAAAGTTTACTTTACATCTCACGTAAGAGGGCGATAGACCATTTCGCAATATTGACTGATCAAAAGCGCTCATCATGTTATCACCGAGTCCCATTTATCTCTTTCTCTATTTCATCTGTCTCCTCTATTTCAAAAAATAATGTAACACCCACTCTATTTCTCTGCCATTATTTCTCTCTATTTTGTTCCAATCCATTTCTTGCCCACCCTCTCTCTCTATGTGAAATTCTCTCTCTCTCTCCCTCTCTCTCTCTCTCTCTCTCTCTCTCTATGAATGAATAAATGTATCATCGTCTCTCTGCTTTTGTTTTTGTAATATCACGCTCATGATCATCTTTTTACTTCAAACTTCCTTCCGCCTTCTTTTATATTTACAGATCTCTGTGTCAGGTTTTTAATGCACGTGAACTAAACAGGCAATCTTTAATATTTTTTGACGAAATAGATGTGCCTAGATTGTTCAATATTTATTTCAAGGTCATGTTTTTTTTGTAATTGCTTGAATTTGAATTTATTGAAAAAACATCGTCACAAAGTATAATGACATTTAGTTACAGATAATTAACAAACAAAAAGGAATTACAGCATGCAGTTCTTGTTTTTTTTTCTTCACCTGTACAAAATTTACACATTTTCTCCACATACAGATATAACACATTTTATATATTTAACAGTATTACAAATAACTTTATCAACGTCTAGTTTTATTTTGCACGAACTTGTCAAAATTCTCGTCTTACAGATATATCACATTTGATATACTTTAGTATTCAATAAAATTACAAAATAACGTTATTATCGTCTATTGTCATTAACTTTCCAAATGTGTCTTTATTGTTCACATTTTTAAATTCTTTATAAATGACACTAATTTGTTCGAGCAATACATTCTAGGGACTAAATATTGTACAATCCATGGACGTGTGATACTCGTCTGCAATTTCCCCAGTATTATATTCATTCTGGTATTCATTGCAGGTACGTAAAATGTGTTAGGAATTTATTCGGGCGTCTATGCATTCCAATTTCAATGGGTACATTATCTTAACTTTATATTCTAAATCGGCAAATAGTTTAACGTAATTTATTACTTTTTACAAAAGTCAAATATTTTTCTTGTTTCATGTTTTGCTTAAACAATCTACATGTTCGCAATTTACTTTTCTCCTTTCCCTATACGTAATCAATGTTTAAATCCACTATAAGTTGAGAAGCATATATTTCTCGAAGTTTAACTTCTGTTTCCTCTCCGACTATTTTATTTTTATCTATAATATTTTCTAATTCTAGACATTCATTATTTCCGTCAACATATAAATTACTTTTCTTTAATAAATTGTGAACATTACTAAAAACATGTAGTAGATTTTGCTAACCTTTCTCTATTTTCTTGAAAAGAAGAATATAAAAAAAGAGTTTCATCAACACTTTTCATACGAATCCAACATTTCATGCAATTTGTTAACATATATCGATAATCATAGGATATTCTCCAGCTTCAGCCAATACAGCCAATTTACTACTCTTTTTATTTACCCCTAAGATATTTCTCATCCATTGCAAAAGGAACACTTTCTATTAAACACATTATTAAAAAACATTTTATTGTTTTACCCTGAAGCCTGTTTGATTTTGGACATAGAGTTTATTCTTACCATTATGTAACCAGACGTTTGTTCAAAATATGTTTTTTTAATTATTAAATCAAATGAATACATTTTGAAGAAAAAAAGAAATATTGAAATGATTTGCCAACAGATCTCGAGAGGGAGATGCCCCTATAGAGGGATCGGTTTCACAGCCACTATAAACAATGGAATAATATAGCTTTCTGACCATTAACAAGGAAATCTTCCGCCTATTACTATAGTATCATGTTAACTATTTTTGCTAGTATCATTGAAAAACTGCTTGTATTTATAATATTTGTGTTTGGACCATATTGATCTCCATTGAATTAATTGTTGATGATTAATGAATAAATAAAATAGAATAAAATCAAGCAAAATAATTCATTTTTGATAATAATATCACACGAATGCTTAAAAAAGATGTGCATATTGTTTGAGAAAAATAGAGTATAAAATAGTTATTTGAAAAGAAATAAATGACAACTGATTTTAAAACTACCAGTATGGTGCCCAGAAAGAAACTATCGAAAATAACGAAAATATTGCCTTTTGAAAACGACTTTCATAAATCATAATTTACAGATAAATCCACTGCCGTCTAAACATTGTTATACCTGTCACAGGTTTAACAAACCCTTACCAAAATAATTAAATCAAATTATTACAGGCAAACGGTATAAAATCTTAGGAGCTTTGCGAACCAGCTAAGTGGCAGAAACGCATGAACATGATAAAGAAATTATGAAAAAGAAAATATATGTATATATCAAAGAAGATAAAGAAACAATATACAGCTAATTGGTGTGACCAGACAATGTAATTGTATACTTTACTGATTATTTGATTCAATAAAATAATCTAAATATAAAACATAAAGAAATTAGGTATTACTGAATGTTATGAGAAATTGTTAAGAAATACAATATATACAAAGGCACTTTACACTGATAATTCAAAATAATGTTTCTAAATATACTCATGCTTGTTTTAACAGTTTGTATAGAATGTGCGTATGTAATTGTGTTTTTACAGACGTGTATTAATTATATATGTTTACGTGTGGGGACCATACCTTAACGTCGCGTTTGAGTAAAGGATATAGGCTACTTGATAATTACACAGAAAGGTGCCATTCAAAATTCTTGCAGTGATCATCATCAGGATAAGCATACATGTATGTTTGCTACAAGATTATAAACAGTTCAACAATACATATTTACGTTACTATTACAAACTTATAATAACGAGTTATGATTAGTTTATACAGGCTCTGATACAATGTTGGAAAATGGTTTGACATTTAACATTATTAGTATACACTTTAACTCTTGTTCAGCTTGAGTAATATTGTATTCAAATAAAAACATATTAGGCCTGAACAACGATTCAATCAAATAAAAACATGACGCGAAATCCTAATACTAGATAGTTATTGTTCTTTCTTTTCGTTGGTATCCAGTCAACTCTGTCAGCATACTTTTTTTCGCCATAAATATACTTTGTTATATTCTGAAATAAAAACCTCTGAAGCTAAAAGTCGAGGTTTTTATGACAAAACTAGAAATTCCAAATTCTGGGCAGCAGTAGACTCCATTTAAGTTATGTTGATTTTTGTTATACTAGGCCCCCAATCGGAGTAGGGAGATACACCAATGGTTCACCCCTACGTTGGATATGTTTAACATGACATGGCCTAAGGTCAATAGTTATTTTCGAAACGTATATCTACTCGTTTGGAATCAAGTCATCAGTCTTTAGATTGATAGTCAGATTCTTTGCCAATTTATTCCAGAAATACTCTTGTCCTCTTACATCGTCAGTCCAGTGGAGATAGGGTCTACCGTCGTTGAGATACAATCTCGCCATGAAAGGTATCTCATCATCAGGGATGTCTTCGAGGAAGACCACAACAACGAACTCGGTTCGAGTATCACTCACGTGGTCCATGGCGATGCGCAGTTTGAGCATGAACCAGCGATCGCGTACAGCGGCTCTGCTAAGCACAAGGACTGTCTTGTAACTCCGGGTCACTGCGTGATCAACTGCATCTAGATAATGCATTCCCGGTACGAGGTCTTCATCACCAAAAACATTCCTCTGAAACTGCGGAAGCTTTTCTTCAAGAGCCGGACGAAGATGGTCACGAATCCATTCTTCGTCATCGTCATAGCAAATGACATTTACGTCGAATTCGTAGTCATTGTGATTGCGAGCGTCTCGGACTTCGTTATAGCCAACTAATGCCAGTTTCAAGAGAAAGAGTTTATACCTCAAATGCCATCGATGACGATGCACAAGCACTGCAATGACAACCATGCAAATGACTGCGAGAGAAATCAAACATCGAATGGTACTGCTGAGCCTACAGAGATTACTTGGATCAAAATCCCGGAGAGGCTTTTCGCGAAGAGGAGCGAGAGATCCTGACGAACAAATAGTTGTGTGCTGCTCAGTGAGGTTCGGTGATCTCCGGTGCCAATCGAGAAGCCATTTTAGATCACAATTACAGAGAATAGGATTCATTGATATGTCTAGAGATGACAGGGAATTCTCAATCGGTTTGAAAGTGGATTGGTTGAAACGGGTTAGTTTGTTGTCTGCTAATGAAAGATATTTAAGCAGTAGATTGTTCGAAAATATTGTTTCATCAAGGTAAGATAGACGGTTTCTATCAAGGTCTATGCGTGTCAGTTGCCTTAACTCTGTCAGCACATCGTAGCGAAGTAGCTGAATCCTGTTTCCTGATAAACTCAGCATATGAAGGGACACCAAGTCGTGAAAGAGATGTGAATGAAGGCTTGGAATATTACAGTCGTTTAAAGTAAGGCTTTGCAAAGTCGTGAGGTTCCGGAACGAACCAGGTAGTAAACCCGCTGAATTCCACCCGAATCTGGTATTTTTACTCAGATACAAAGTCGTTAGGTTATCCATCCCGTCGAAGAGAGAAACGTTCATATACCACAAATCGTACACACCAAGATCCGTCGCACCAAGGTTTAAATATATAAGAGAACGTAAATGTTTGACGGATTCCCTGGGGTCCCACAGATAAACCTTTTCTATTTTATTGTTGAGTACAAGTGATGTTAACGATGGAGTTTCCAATAGCAAATGGTGTATATTACATCCAGATAAAACTATCTTTTGAATGCTTTCAAGTCCGGTGAACGCTGTGAATTCTAAGAAAGTAAGGCCTTTGTTCCTACTCAAATCCAAGAGGGTTAAATCTTTCAACCCGAGAAAGGCAGATTGTGAAATTTCTATAAGTAGATTGTTAAACAATTGCAGCTCTTGTACTTTTATATTCCACGTTTGATTGTATGGATTAATGTGTTGTATGTTGTTGAACTCCAGCTCCAGGATTCTTAAATCTTGCATTCCTTCAAAGAAATCCGGCTCGATCGTAACTAGACTGTTAGAGCTGAGAGAAAGTTGGTAGAGTTGGGTCAAATTTGAGAAGAGGTACGGAGAGAGAGCCTTCAGACCAACCGTATGAAGGCCGAGAGAAGACAGAGGACAATTGCAAAAGGAGTCGAAGAAGTCTACCGGAAAAGCAGTCAAATTGGACCCTCTGATTGACAAAAAATCTATTTCAGAACGTGAGATCCCTATAAATAGGTTTTTGAAGACTTTCAAAGTTAGAGGGGAGTCTCCAATGATTAATTCACGGACATTTAGTGACGCAATCACATTAGGATCTACTGACTTGATGGGGTTTTCTTTTAGTAACAAAACATCAATATCGCACACTAAATTGAAAGATTCTGTGCTGAGATGTGCCAGCTGATTCCCCTCCAAATGAAAGTTCTTGACCATGCCACACGAACTGATGTTGATGAAAGCAAACTGGTTACGTGACAACTGTAATTTCTCCAGCTTTGTGCTCCACCTGAGAGTATCATTAGGAAGCGATATCATGTTTGAATTGGACAAATCCAGAATGGACAGCTTACTCGCCCAACGGAATAACCCCGTATCCGGCAGCACAAGATGTGGGTTGTAAGACATCAAGAGACCCCTCAGATCCCTGAGAGGGTAGAAAGCTGTGTGATCCAAGGCCCTGATGTCGTTGAAACGAAGATCTAGGGTTGTGATGAGAGGGTATCTTACAAACGAAGAGTTTAAGAGGGCTTTGACATTGTTGCTCTGCATGGAGAGTAGCTCGATATCCTCAGTAAGATCTTGAGGAATTGAAGTAAGTCTTCTGTTGTCGCACCAAGCTTCCTTCAGCTTAGGGTCCTGGGAGCATACTTGAATAGAACTCTCCACAGTCAGCTCTGAGGTCGGCAACGCATCTCCGTGAATTGTTATTAGACATGGGAATACGAGAAGAAAATATACTACCAACGTGGTCAAAGATGAAAGAACGGAGCATTCTTTCAACGCCATAACGTCTGCAGATGAAGTGATAACGAACTTTTATTTTGCCGAGCTAAATTAAGCCATCACAGCCCCTAAGAATGAAGTGTTCAATGGATATGAACAAGTGATGTAATGAAATATAATGTAAATGAATAGATATATCCTTGCTTTTCTGTTTTGTTGTTGTTGGTTGAAATATGAACTTTGTTATCATCCTGAGCTTCCTTCCGCCTTCTTTGCGTGGGCTTTTTAATTGTATCAAAGTTGTAATCGACTTCGAACCAAACCGAAACCAAAACTCAAACATGCAGATTGAAATGTGATGCCAATAAACCTTTTTTTAATGTCCTATACGATGTTTGTTTTCCAGCTTTTGATTCAGAGAAAACATTATATTTAGATTTCCTTCCTCCTTCCCCAATCGCCTCAAAGTGCATTTAACCTACACCCACAACAAAAAGTGAGCCACCCTTACTCAAATTGATGAGTCACTGGTTTGTCCGTACAGCGAAACACTTGAAGGATCATGTGAGTCACTATGACTCGATACAAATGAGTCTTATTTATCTAAGAGACTCATTTGTATCGAGTCATAGTGACTCACATGATCCTTCAAGTGTTTCGCTGTACGGACAAACCAGTGACTCATCAATTTGAGTAAGGGTGACTCACTTTTTGTTGTGGGTGCATCATGACATAGACCCCCCTACTCCCTAGGCCTATCACACACATACCATACCATGCCAGAGTCACTGTCCACATTTGCAATGGAAAATATATCCTAAAATATCACATTTAAGCGATGTAATCGGTGGTCCCGCTACCCGAATCTGAAAAATCTACTTTGTACGCACTAAATTAAGCCTTAACTTGAGATTTATTTGTCACCCATACTGTCACGAAACAATCTTGAATTAATTCGTTTTACATCAAATAACAAGGATCTAGGAGTTTCGTTGTATAAAACAATGATGCAAGATCATGCATGTTTTCATTCGACACGGCTTCGTGCGATACAGTAGAATCTATATAGTTAAGTTACACACAGCCTCATCAACTCGAGTGCGGATATCGTAAAATGAACGCATGCATCATTTGTATAATAATCAGAAGATTCAGCCCACGAATCCAGTCATAAAAATCATCGTTTAAAACCATATGAATAATTATGCGTACCAATTTTTCACTAGCTGCAGTCAAAACTCTTCTGAATCCAAGATATAAGATGGCGACGTCGCGTCGTCGATCGGGAATTCAAATATGGCTCGAGAATGCGCATTTTGGATGACGTCACGAAAGCATGCGCGCGCATGCATACAGCCTCACTTTCAAGTTGACTCACTTTTTTCTTCTAAAATGCTCTTATGTCGATCTTGACTCATTTTTTACGACCATGTGAGTCAGTCGAAGCATTTTGCAAATGCGTCAGCTCATGATTGACACACTGGTAAAATATAAATGAGTCAATAGAGACTCATTGGTTGTTACTAATGAGTCAATTTACACCTGACTCACGAAAATTATGCTTAAATGTGTCAAATGACTCACTTTTTGTTGTGGGTGTACCTTTATCGAACATAATTTAGTTCATTGACACATTGGCCCGAATTCACAAAGCAAGGTTTGAGCTCAGACCAAGGTTTACGTACGTCATATGACGCGTTTTAGACCTTGGTTCAGACCTTGGTCTGAAATGCATTTCACAAAGCCGGTTTGTCCTCAGACCAAGGTTTATGTACGTCATATGACGCGTTTCAGGTTTGAGTTCAGACCTTGGTCTGAAATTACATTTCACAAAGCAAGGTTTGTCCTCAGACCAGGTTTATGTACGTCATCAGACCCGAAATTTACAGACTGCTCAGATAGGAGGTTTGTAATTTCTCAAACCTGGTTTGAGAGCTATCAACCAATCAGGATGCAGCACTGGGTGGAGATAATTTATGCTCGATTGATTTTATCCAAATAATTCACCGCCTAAACAATCTGCGATAGTATCTGGTCAGCCCGATTTTAGTGCAATTGAAATCTCTCAATCTCTCGATCCTTTCCTTAAAATCGTAAGTATAAAACCTGTACATGTAGTCGAATCCATACTCTTCACGTTACTGAGATTTCAATATGTGATATGCTTTATAACTTTCCATTTTCCATGAAATGTTCGGTGTTTACATATCCGACGGCCTCTCAATTCCAGAGTTCAGGGACTGAGTCCGAGGGAGCTCGAGTCCAACGCACAAGGCGGCGGGGGAGCTCGCACCCTCTGACCCTGGGCTGGAGTTGGGCCTAGCCAGGCCTACAGTAGGCTATATCTGAGTATGTCAGTATGACTGTCATGTTTAATTTCGTCTTGTTGTCAGCAATGCCATGACACATGCCTATTAGAATAGGCCTAGACCTACACTAGTTATTACAAATTCATGATAATGATAATAATACCAGGCTCTAGCCTAGTATAGGCCTGGCAATGATGTCCATCACTTGACTTGTTTCACTGACACTGGTACCTAAATAAATAGAAATTAAAATGGCATCAGCAATGCCAATGTTCCCCAAAATGAATCACACTGACAGGCATGGACCAAAAGCTTCAGTCTCTCTATATCGCCGGTTGTTCACTGAGACTACGCCTGGCTCCACTAGACCTCCGATTATAGAATGTCAACAAATGTCAGTTTTAATTATTTTTATTAAAGAAATGACCCATATCACTCAGACGGTTATTTCTGTCTATGACTAGATCTAGTATGAGTCGTGACAAGCAAAGCTTAGTTTTATTAAATTTAGATCTGGTTCTGATTGTCTTAATTAACTGGCTTAGTCTCCAGAGCAAGGATCACCCACAAAGTCACAAGCACAAGTAATAACATTTCTTTAATTTAAAAACATTGTTTAAACATTTGTTTAATTTTATCTTCACTCTAGTAAAGATGGTAGAAATGCAGCTGATTCAGCATAATGAGCTGGTGTACCTGGAGGAGGAGCTGGAGCAATATATAGCAGCACAACCGGGCAGAGGCCTCTGAGTCTGAGATTGGGAAAACCCGCTGGATGATGAGCCTTTTGTTTTAGATTGAGGTAGGCTACTTTGAATTCAAATTCTGTATTGGGAAAGTTGCTGAAAACATGGCCAAACTACTTGATGAATATTGTTAACATAGCTATACAAAAAAAGGGCTTCTGTTGTAAAATCCAATCCTAGACTAGTGTCGTTATTAAAATGCAGAAATATTTCAATTCATGTTGACCGCCTAAATTCACTGTTCGTTTGCCCCGCTTCGCTGGTCTGCCTACGACTGTGCAAGCCCCCAATGCAATACACATGTGCATTTACATAAATTTATTCAATTTCTAAGCATTTTCTGTCATATTCGATACATTGATAGAATTAGATTAGTTATGATATTTATTCTTTTACATGGTACTGTAGGTGATGGGAGCATTAATGTTCATAATTTGTGTGTGGGGCATTTCCCAATACTGTTATTTGGCTTTAATACATGAGGAAATTATTCAGATTATGTGTTGGAAACAGGTTTGTGATTTCTTGTTTTGTGTAAAACTACTTAACTACTTAAACTTATTTTTCAAAAGGTGAAGCCGTGAAGGAGATTAGAAAAGGCATAGACAATTTTGTCTTTTACGTTAAATTGATTCACACCACATCTAGAAATCAGGATTTTGTTTTTGTTTTAAAGTGACAGTGACAGTTGGGGATGTAAAAATATAATAGCATAAACCAGCAAAAAAATGATTTATTTGAATGCTTGTTTTTTTAATTTTTTTAAAAAGGTAATTCGATCTAAAGGATGCACGGTGAGGAGGCGGCATGCCGTGTCACATTCATCTGTTTGCCGAATGGAGAGTAGTGAGGGATGTTTCCGAAGCTGTTGTCAGAAGAAAGGGACAAGTCATGAAGTTCCCTACAAGTTACAAGGCAAATAGTGACTACTATTCAGAAGCAGTTTTTCCAGTACTGCAGATTTCCAGGAGTTGCTGTTGATGGGACACATGTTTACATCAGGAGCCCTGGTGGGGCAAGAGCCAGGTACTACTTCAATAGGAAGAACAGGTACTCCATCGATGTTCAGGTGAGAATATCCAGCACGGCTTTCCCTTTAGACCATTTTTTTTGTACCTTGCAAAATTTTCACATTAGATATATACACTCTCCAGTCTTGTGTGTTGTACATCCATGCTAATTCATTGGTGACCAATGCAAGATTTCTAGTGGCCAAATGGATATTAAAGTAATATTCGCGTACAGGTACTCATTTCACTGCCTTTGTACACAGTTAAGAATATCCAATGGATAGTTAAACTTAAAAATCCTAACACTCGTTAATATCTTTTTAACGAAAGGGAAATTTGAAAAATCAAAACTTGTTCCATCCTTCTATTGGCAATACGGATATGACCTCTAGATTTCTGATATTTTGTTGATGGCCATGGCAATTGGGCCACTGTTTTTGCCATTGATCAATGAAAGAAAAAACAACAAAGAGAAGCATGTAAATTGATCAATGGCAATTACCACTATATATTTTAAACTATAGAAAAACAAACAGGTTCATTTCCAATAAAAAGATGCGAGAGTGGGTACCCCCTCCCCCCCCCCCCACACACACACAAAGCATTTGTTGTTTTAGGCTCGAAATGTTTTGTTAAAAGTGAGATTATTTTTGTTTACATTGTTACAAGATAAACAATGAAAACATGAGTTAAAAATAAAGAAATACTTCATCAGTCAATAAATATAGGGTAATTAGAATTTTCTTCCAATTTTTGTTGTATGAATAGATATTGAAAAGCAATTATCACATATTCAACTGCATTTGCATTAATTACCATAAATAACAAGTGAAATGTATACATTTCGCGGCCTATCTGAAGTGTGAAATGAGTGAGTTTTCATAACTAATGAATGCCAACATGTTATTTCATATTGACAGGTTGTCTGTGATTATGCTGGGAAAATAACTAGTATCGTTGCAAGGTGGCCTGGACTGGTAGCAGCCACGATGCCAGGATCTTTTCTGAGTGTGCACTGAATTGACAGCTTGATGCTAGGGCATATGAATAACAGTTGATTCTTGGAGATAGACTATAGGGTAGGTACTGTAGATTATTTCTTTATATGAAAACATTTGTTTATTCTTTTTCTTAATCAATCTTGTTTCCTTTTTTGTATTTGGCCAACATGTGACATGTTAGGAATGTTCATTTGTTAATATAGTAACAACTCGCATTAAGTAATTAATTCAAACGAGCTCATGTGCTTTTAAATTTCAGTTCACAAATCACAATTAATGTTTTTGATATCTGGATGCAACTTGATTAGTTTGTTGTCAAGTGGAACCTCATAGTTTTTGTATTAGTGACACAGGATTGAATAATTCCTGATTATGTGTACAATACATTGTATCCTTTCTATAGTATTACC